GCAGGCAGGAATTAAGTTCTCTCCTGCAGAAGCTCTGATGTGCTCCTGACAGTCGGCGTTTCCATGCTCAAGTCTGCTGTCTGTCGCTCAGCACCACGTACACGGCTTGCTGCTGCCTCACTAGCCAGGCGCCCGCGGAGACCGAGCGTCCACTGCAGGAGCCACTCTGTGTCGTGACAGCGGGTGATGTGGCTCATCCACAGTGAGGTCATCCGTCTCCTCTCCTTTGAGATCTGTCACTCTCGTCCCTTCTCACCGTTTTTTTACACCCCCTTAGGTTACTAAGATGGTTTCTTCAATTTATTTATTAATGCATTTACTCAATAGTTTCATACTTTCTGGTGTTTTAAAGTTAAGCAAATTGAGTATTTTAGATCCCTCAATCTCTCCCCACAAAATGACGACAAACTAAATTAAAAGAGCTCTTATGTATGTGACATTTCCTATTGTTTCTCCATCTTTATTCACTGATGCCAGTTATTTACTGAGCAACTACCATGTGCAAGGTACATGCCTGGTCAGATAGACAACAGTTTCTTCACTTTGATACAAGCTCCAAGAGGAGAGGGAATAAAAAAATGATCCCACTGAAATTTCATTGTGACACAGACGATGATAAACAGAGTAGGCTGATCGTTCCTGTAATTCTTATCCTATCTTAAAACTCTCAAAGTTATATAACTCAACATTTCAATACAAGTTTTAGTCTTACTTGTGGACTTGTCCAGAGTTATTAACACCTTTACACATAATAACTAGTCTTTCTAAGGAGTCATTAGTGCCTCTAACTATATCCTTTTAGAACGTGTGATGAAAAGACCAGTGGGCACCATGCTTGTCCTGTCACCAACAGTTTTATAAACACAGACGAGTAGTTAGCTCTCTTGGCCTCAATACCAACACTGCCACCTCTGGCCTCAGAGGAAATGTTAGCATACGCTGAAACACTACACAGTAAATGTAAAGCATAATTTAAAAAAACAAAACACTCCTGCCTCTTTCCATATGCATTTTAATCTCAACAAAAAATAGCTTTTATTTGTCATGCTTATAAAGCAAAGCACAGCTCATTGAAAAAGTGATTCACAGAATAAGAAGTGTATAAAGAAGTTAAAATTACCCATAGTCTCACAAGCCATTGGTAACTTTGAACATTTATCCTTTCACAAGCATGTTCCCCGATATCATAAACACACACACACTCATTCACACACACTACCTGGATTAACACAACACTCAGCAACTATCCCTCGCTGAATGAATAGGGCCACTCACCCACTGTGGGGAAAACCAAGGCTTATGTAAGCGAAACAAATTTTGTTATTTTCAGTTAAAGACGAGAAAATGCTTTACTTCTATCCTATGGGGTTCTTAAAAGAGCTGTATGGATCTTTTAAAACATGCTATAAATACAATAAATACACACACAGTTAATTCTCAAAATGAAAAGCACATGATGTGTGCATAGTTTTATAATCTGCTTTTTGTTTACCTGTTTCATAGCCATCTACCAATGTCAGTAAAAATAGAACTTCATGATCTTTTTATGGATTAACAGCACTGAAATATAGAAATGTATTGTAATTTATATAAACCATCTCCCTCTGGCTGAACATTTTAGTTGTTTTTATATATAATCTTGTTA